ACCACAGAGCCCCACCCCGACCACAGAGCCCCACCCCGACCACAGAGCCCCAGCCCGACCACAGAGCCCTAGCTCCACCACAGAGCCCTGCCCATCCTCACCATTTTGGGACTGCAGTCGTGCCTTCTGTATGTTCAGATCATGGATCAACTGTGTCTGTTGGTCATCCTTGGCCTTGATTTCATTGAGTTGGTCTTCCCTGGTCCAGCACATTCTTTCCATGTTACTCTTTAAAAAGATGTCAATATGTATAGGTAAATGTGAGTTCCTGATGCCCAGTATTGAACTGGATGGTTTGTTAGTTTAGCTTCTTATAAGGTAAAATAAAAATACAGAACATGTAAAGATTGGTTTAAAAAAATCATAATCATTTCAGATTTGCTTTATTTTTATTTGTTATTGCTACTTATTTGTCAATAGCTTGGAGCATCAGCTGTTGGTAAGTAAGTATTTACTGATTTGTAAATCAACCTTTGAGAAGATGCTACTCAAAGGTAACCTGTGATCTCCTTGTACTATTAGTAATTCTGTTGTCATGTGAATATTACCCTTTGATGTATGTGTTTGCAAACAGTATGTACAGTAACAGTGTTAAGAATGTCATTGAATAATACAATGCAAAAGGCTGTCCTGTGGTGGAAGAGGTCTGGAAGGTCTCATCTCCCCAGCCACTAGGTGGTCTGTATCTCTGTGAAGGATGTTCAAAAACCCTGTGTATGTTGTAGGCCTCTTCCTTTCCACCCCCACCCCATATAATATCAAACAAAATGTATTGCATGTCTATTTTTTCCTTCAGTTGGGAACTATGAGATGGCAACAGAAGAAGCAGGGGTATTTGATTCAAAAGAAGCCCCCAGGGAGCTTAGGACCCCTTTGAGAAGATGACATACAAGCATGAATAAATTAAACCAAGGGTAGTTGAAAAAGGAGTGGTGAGTCACAAGGAGGAAAATCAAAGGATACAACAAATTAAAAAAACATAAAACAATATAAAATTCTTCTTTCCCTGGATTTTAAAATTGAGAACTGAGAACATAAACAATTATGGATATAGGGAGGTTGCGAGGAAGGGTTGGTCCCAGGCAGCATGTGGCTGAGGCTGGAGCTTCTTCTAACCCAGCTAACCCTGCACCCTGACCTGGCTTGCTGTATGGACAGAGAAAGGGGGAGAGATGATACACACAGACATAACTTCTTGGAGGACGGAAAAAACCAAGAAAGAGAGAAAGAGCGGAAAACTGGGGAACCAGAAAAGAAAAAAGGAATCACCATCCAGAGTCAGTAGGGAGTGAGGAAGAAATCAAGAGAAAGCACAGGACAGTGAACTCAGGCTCTAAATAAAGACGGTAAGATGCACCTTAGCCCTCTGATTCACACCTGACATTCCTTTTCCAGATGAGCATTCTGATCTTCTGGTCAACCTCTGTAGGAGGTCCACAGCCTCACATCTGAAGTCACTGCTTCTTCTAGCCTAGCTGAGCAGTCCCAAGACTAGCTCAGAGCACCCCTCATATGAGGGCAGCTCTCTTAAATCTAGGAGTTTAGACTTTCTGTGAGGAAAGCTTTGGTTTGAAATCATATGCAGAGGCAGGTTTACCATGAAGCTCGTAAAGCTTAATCTTCAGGGCCCCTCAGCTTCATGGGCCCCAGTTTTGGGAATTGTAGAATGTTCCAGGTGGGGAGGGGAACCCACCTCAATGAGAATGCGTTTTTTGGTAAGCATTTCTGGCAAATGGCCTGAAGAGGTCTCTGAAGAAAGAGACCTACATCCCAGAGGCTCCAGTAATTTGTGACTCATTTTTCTCATTCAAAATAAATATTTACTTTCATACCTAATTTTGTATACTCTTTCTTAAAGAGTTCCTCCCTTTCCAAGTGTTAAATACTTCAAGCCCCACAAAACCGGGATCCACCCTAGCAAGTGTGCATAAATTCATGTGGGCCATGCCTCCAGGGACTAATTGCGTAGGCTAAGAAGGTTCTATGTAGAAAACCATTTCCAGAAAGGCAGGCCCTTTGTGCAACCCATCCACAGGTTTAGTTCTAGAAAATGCCAGAGGGATTGGAAGATTTCTGTAAAACTCTGGAAGGAGGATGAGATCTTGAGTGACGGCAGATCATTAGATCAAGCTTGGTGTTCCTGGCTAATGAGAATGGTTAATGCTCTCTGCTGCTAACCAAAAGGCTAGGGTTTGAGTCCACCTGAGGTGCCTTGAAGAAAGCCCTGGCAGTCTACTTCCAAAAATAAGCCATTGAAAATCCTGTGGAGCACAGTTCTACTCTGACACACAGGGAGTTGTCATGAGTCAGAGTAGACTTGATGGCAACTTGGTTTTTGAATGACTTGAGTGAATTTGGGGAATCGGGAGCAGGCAGAAATGGGGAAGAGGGTTTCAGTTTAGAACATGCCACAAGTTTGGGGGACATCAAATTACACGTGCCCACTGGGCAGGTGCATATGGCTGCCTTGTGTTTGCCAAGAGTAGAAGGGCCAGGTACCTTAGACTTGGAGATGGTCTCAATGTTGCTGGCCATGTCGTCGATCTCCATCTTCAACTCGCTCTTCTCCTTCTCCAGCTTCTGTTTGACTCGCTGCAGGTTGTCAGTCTGCTCCCCGAGCTCGGCCACACTGTCCGCGTGCTTCTTCCTCAGGGTGGCCACTGTGGCCTCATGCTGCAGGTGGTCTCGTCTAGGTCCCCGCGCAGTTTCTGGAACTCAGCCTCCCGCTTTTTGTTCATCTCGATCTGGGCTAAAGTCGCCCCGCTGGCTTCTTCCAGCTGCTCGCTGATCTCCTCCAGCTCCCTGGCCAGGTTGGAGCACTGCTTCCCAATCTTGGCTCTGAGTGTGTGTTCCACTTCAATTTCTTCCTACAGCTCTTCTTTGCGGGCCTGAAAGGGTCACTGTGTCAGGAATGCGGGACGGGGGATGCATTTTCGGAGGGGCCGGGTGCAGACGGGTGAGAGCTAGAGACCACAAAGCACAGAATACATCTTAACACTAAAACCATCAGTTACTGTTGAGTCGCCTCCTACTCAGGGCAACGCCATGTGTGCCAGAGTAGAATTATGCTCCACTGAGTTTGCAATGGCTCATTTTTTGGAAGTAGATCACCAAGACTTTCTTCCAAGGCACTTCTGGGTGGATTCAAACCTCCAATCTTTTGGTTAGCAGCTGAGCATGTTAACCAATTGCACCACCCAGGGACTTCATTAAATAATAAAAACACCTGGAAACAACCTAAGTGTCCATCAATAGGGGAATGGCCAAATTGACTGTGATGGAGCCAGGCTCCAGAAGTCCATGAAGCAGTTAGATACCAATGCCTGCCTACATGGGTAGCTCTGCAGAGCACGTTACAAATGAAAAGAGCAAATTGCAGAACGACACTTCCAGTATGATAATATTTATGCTAAAAAAAAGGAACTTTTTTTGCATATATATATCCTATAGATTTTCTTTGGGTCTTAAATGTGCACATAAATATATAGCAAAAGGTAGGGAAGGATGTACAGCCAACTGAAATTGGCAGTTACTTCTGAGAAGGATCCCGGGAAATGGGAGTCAAAGAGCCTTTATAAATAATCTCTCGTGTTATTGGCAACATTTTAATTCTTTTCAAGGAAATAAATTTATGTGCTGCTTAGAAAATTAAAATATCAATTTCAAGAACTAAAGGAAAGGACAGAGTATTCTTTTCAGCTCCAATGGGAGACAGAAAAGAAGCTAAAGAAGCAAAAGGTAAAGGGTAAGAAGGGGTGCTTGCAAAGGGGTTTCCATGGTTAGGAAAGCATTCGACACTTCTACCTGCAGTTCTTTGATCTTCTTTTGTGACTGCAAACTGTGGACTCGTTCGTCATCAGTCTTGGTCTGTAAATGACTGATTTCAAACTCTTTCCTGCAAATAGATATAAAGAAAAAAAAAAACAAACCATGAAATACAAGCCTTTTAAGGGGGTGGGGAAGGGTTGCTTTACGGCTCAGGCACAAAGACAAAAAATGAAATAGCTACTTCTTCAGCTTCTCCTCCACTTGCTGCTTGTCGTTTTCTAGATCCAGAAGGGATTCCTCGGACATTTTCAGGTCTCCTTCCAGCTTCCTCTTCACTCTCTCCAGGTCTGCCCGCAGTTTCTTCTCCTGCTCTAGGCAGCCCTCGAGCTGGGAAGACATGGTGGAAAGGCTGACCTTGCTGGGAAAATGAGCTTGTGCAGGCCTGTGCAGTTATTCACGTGACCTGTGGTTTCCTTCCTCAGGTTCCCAGAGGGTGCTGGCAGCGAGTCTCTGCCCCAGAAGAAGCAAGACCTCCCCTTGCCTCTCCTCTCTCCTCTCCTCCTGCAAAGGCAAGCCCAGGAGGCTGGGTCTCCCAGGGACCTCCTGGTGCCTTTTTCAGCCCATTTCCACTTGACCTGTTCCAGCCCATGTCTTCTGGAGGAACATGGTGCCTGTAGGTGGGTACTCTTGCACAGACAGGACAAACGAGGGTGTCGGTGGACGGCCGCTGCTGCCGCTGTGCCTGTGATGGTCTAGAGTGGACGCCAGCACTCCTTCCCCACTCCATCAGCCAACCCTGGGGGATTTAGGCAAGGAATTCAGTGTGTGTGTGTGTGTGTGTGTGTGTGTGCACGTGTGTGTGTACTAGGGGTGGGTGTGGGGAAAGGAGAATGGTGGATCAGTGGTAGAACTCTCGCCTTCTGTAAGGGAGACCTGGCTTCGATTCCCAGCCAATGCACCTCATGAGCAGCCACTACCTATCCGTCAGTGGAGGCTTGCGTGTTGTTGTGATGCTGAACAGATTTCAGCGGAGCTTCCAGACTAAGACAGGGACTAGGAAAAAAGGCCTGGCGATCTACTTCTGAAAATCAGCCTACGAAAACCCTATGGATCACAACGGTCTGATCTGCAACTGATCACGGGGCTGGGGCAGGACTGAGATGTGTTTCGTTCCATTGTTCATGGGTCATCACGAATTGGGAGCTGACTTGAGGGCAACTAACTACAACAACAACAAGGGCTTCAGGGAAATTAAAGAGATCTGGAAAAGTTCTAGTCACTGTGTATAAAGCCTGAAGACTTCAAACATGGCTCTTACATAAAAAACAAAAATGTAACGCGGTTGGGGGAAACAATAACTTTCATGTCACAAATGGAACTGATTTTCAGTATGTCAGAAGGGGAGTGGAGTTTTTGGAAATGAATGACCTACAGATGGATGCTAATAATGATGATGATGATGATAACAATATTACCATCTAACATTTTACTAAGCACTTTCTACATGCTGAGCTTTCTGTGGAGACCCCCTGAGGGAGAGCTATTGTATTCCCATTGCACAGTACAGAAACTGAGGCTTTGTGGGGTTACGTGGTTTGCTCACTGTTCTAGATTCGCTCACAGGTGGGGCTGAGATCTGAACTCAGGGATTGTGATTTCAGAGCCTGAGCTCTCAACCCCTGCATTCTACGTGAACCCTCCCTTGCCCAGGCTTCCACGAGTAATCAATGTTAAAACATAACAGTAAAATATCCTCACATCATTCATTTGCTGTTCAAGCTTGACATTGATTTTGATTAGGTCATGGACTTGCTCTTCCTCGACCTGAAGATCATCCAATGTTTGCTGATGGGCTTCCTGTAGAGATTTCTTCTCTTTGGTCAGTTTGGAAATGTTTTGTTCAAGAGCTGTCATTTCTTCAGAAAGATTCTTCACCTAGGAGAATATCAACACAATTTAATAGTCAAACAATTAAGCCAGAAGCTTCTAACAAAGACTACCACTTCCTTTTTCTTTTCTTTGCTTTTTTTCTCTTTGCTGTTGTATCTTTCCCTCCCCAACAGGTGCTCGCTGTGTTATTCTGGAATTGGCAGCCTCTCAGCTCTTTATTGTCCTCACTGGCCTAGCCCCGTGTCTCGAATCCTCTCATCAGGATTATTCCTTTAAAGAGGGAATATGTCTTAGAAGGAAGGTCACCATTAAAATGCAAATATGCTACCTCTGAAGGATAACATCAGTCTATATTGACTCATAATACATTCACAGGGATTTGTTTATTAGGCTGGCTGATTGGGGTTTGGAATGAGATAGGAGGAAGGGGGAAGGAGAGGCATGAGGTGCTATGAAGAAAATCCAGAACGGGAATCCTGCATTGTCAGGAAGTGGGAAGCGGGCTTTCTTCCGGATCAGATGTTGCTAACGCCTGATCCACGGCTGAATCTGGCCACGGACATCTTTTCCTTAGTCCACTAGGGATTTACAATTCTTGAATGAGTTACCAACATTGAAAAAATAATGACATTTCGTGTTATATCTGGATCTCTGGCCTCTCATAGAAAATTGGAAGCTCTGGCCATGCTGGCTCACATTCCTACCCTGCAACACTTGGCTGGAGCTGAGTAGTGGCTGCCATCTGTGCACAGGGCAAGTTTGCCGCAGTCTCTACTCCTCCCTATTGTCCCTTTCCACTGCTGCCAATTGCCTATCCAACACTGAAGCTGAGTGTCAGCTGCCGTTATCATCTTACAGCTTGCTGGTGTCATCTCTTACCCCACCTCAGGGGTAACCAATTTAATATACACCATGTCATGTGTTTTTATGTATTTGTGTAAAATGCTTGTATTGTGTTGTGTGCACATAACTTTCGTCTGCATAAATAGTGTCATGCTGTATGCTTCATTTTCTCACTTTTTCCCCTCCTCAGTATCAGGTTTTCAATATCCACCATTGTTGCTCTGTGGGCATGAGCTGGTTGCTTCTGATGGCTACATAGTACACCCTGGTGTGCAGCTACCACTTTTTACCTCTCCATTCCCCTAGGTGGACCCTGATATTGCTTCCGACTGTCCCCCACACCAAGCAATGCTGCCACAGACAGCCTGGTACATGTCCCCTTATAGATTGTGGGAGGATTCCTTGGTGTAGACACCCAGGAGCAGACCCACTGGGGCGGGGGGTATGAGCATTTTTAATTTGGCTAAAGGGTTACAGATGGCTCTCCCAAGGGCTGCATCAGTCCACACCCCACTGTCAATGCATGAGGGTTCCTGTACCCTTGCACCCTTGCCAATGCTTATCCAGCTTTCTGCTTCCTTCAGCACCTGCCGCCTTCACTTTCGGCCTGGCTGCTGTAGGCATTTTCCTTGCTGGAGCCCTGGTGGCGCAGTGGTTAAGAGCTCAGCTGCTAACCAAAAGGTTGGTAGTT